CCTTTCTGTGTCCCACTCATGTATTGACCCCCATGTGCCTGTTCATCTTAGCCGCTATGATGCCTGACAGGGGCTTCCATGTGGTGCTGAGGCAGGTTATTGGTTGGTAGTTGGAGGGGACCGGCCCCTTCTGGGGGTCCTTGAGGATCAGGACCGTCCAACCTTTGGTTAGCCATTCCGGGTGTCTCTCGTTAACTAGTAGCTGGTTCATTTGTGCTGCCAGGCGCTCGTGGAGTGCAGTCAGCTTCTTCAGCCAGTAGGCGTGAACCATGTCAGGGCCTGGTGCTGTCCAACTCTTCATACTGGAGACCCTTTCTTGGATATCTGCCACTGTGATGATTACTGGACCCTGTTCGGGGAGGTCGCTGTGGTTTAGACCGCTCTTCAAGCGGCTGGCCAAGGCTGTGAGTCGTTGCTTGGCATTTTCCAAGGCCTCAGATATGGACAGCTTCCTGTACTTCTTAGGCACCTTCCTCATCGCGCCTTTCTGCAGCTCTGATAGTTGGCTAACCTCCCTCTGTGCTACCTTGATCTTGCCCTCTAGCCTCCTTCTCCATGGAGGGTACTGCCCCTTGCGGCTGTTCAACTTGTAGCCAAGCGTCTCACTGATCACAGCTGCTGTATTGTACATCAGCTTGTTAGTGTCGGTAATCGTGGCTGCAGGTATCGTCCGTAGTGCTGCATTAACATCATCTAGCAGACCTTCTGAGGGTACTTCACGTAATCTTTTAATCTTTTAATCTCCTCCTCCTCCTCCTGTCAGATTTTAATTTAACCGTAATCTTTTCTTTTCACAGCAGACTTTATTTGGTTGAGAGGCTGGAGCTGTTCAATTGTCAGCTGTAAAGCGAGATAGCGTTCTCTGATAGCGTGGAGGTTACTTCTGAAAACATATGAATGCAGTCTTCAGTTTTAATATATTCAAACTGTAATAAAGCATAATAAACATACTGTTACTCTGTGGCAATAAAGGCCTGCAGTTCAATAATGCATTTCCTTGAATAAGCAGATGAAAATATATACAGGAAAATTAGATGGGTTCTCTAGAGTGTGGAGAGTGTAATATCCACAGTTTCATCAGGAAGTGGCTTTTTCACTGGGCAAATATTTAAAAAGTCTCTTGAAATGAGCCACGAATAGTGAAAAAAATAATTTTTAATAATTTGTAATGGTACAAATATGAAAATATGAAAAAAATGGCAGCAGGACCACTGTGTTTCACAGACTTCATGTGTGTTTTAGATCCTCAATGCTGCCCCTTGTTTTTATGTTTGTTTGTTTGTTTTCCAGCTTACTGGGTGTTTGCATCTCGTGGTGATTAATCTGAGGTTCATGAAGTCTCCAGTTCATCATTCACAAAGGATTACATGCATCTGTGACCCAGGGGCCATTGTTTACTCTCTGTTCATCTAGGGTTTTTTTCATCATCCGTAGGATTTGTGCCGCCCAGTTGACCAGATTTTCTTTTGTATCTTTAACTCTGATAGGAGAAACAGATACTTGTTCAGCCCCTTCCAAATCAACTCCAAGCTGCACGTGACGGCTTTGGTGAAACTTTAAAATTCAAATGCCATGGATACAGTCAGGGCCGTGAGAATTTGGACGTTATTAACTTATTATTTTTCCTCCATAATGGTCTACTAGGCCACGGGGGTCAAACTCCAGTCTTCGAGGGCCGGTGTCCTGAAACTTTTCCATGTGTCTCTGCTGCAACACACCTGAATAACATTAGTAGGCCATTAGCAAGACTCTGTATCGTGCATGCTGAGGTGGCAGTTCAGCTGCTTGATTCATGTTACAGCAGCTCAGAGTGAAATAACGTAGTGCAATAAAAGTACTTTTAGCAGTACACTTTTCCAAACACTTAGATGTGTCCTTGATCCAACACGGCTGATTTAAATGGTTAAATGACCTCCTCAATATGTCTTGAAGTTCTCCAGAGGTCTGGTGATTCAGGTGTGTTGACCCAGGTGAGATCTGAAACCTGCAGGACACCAGCTGCAGAAAACTGGACTTTGATGCTGGTTTGTGTGTCTCGGTGACTGAGAGTCTGCTCTGCTGGGTTCAGATCAGGTGTTTTTAAAAATATTCCATGTCTTTACCTTTAGAATCTATTGAGCTGCTTTTACATTTACGTCAGATTATTATCCATTAGCCTTGTGAAGCTACGTCTGATGACGTTTGCAGTGCTTGGCTCAATCTGAGCAGAGAGCATACAGTATCTCTGTACCCTTCATCCTGCTACTTCTATCAGCAGTCACATCATCAATAAACACCTGCTCCTACTGGCAGACGTACGTGCCCATGCTGTAACTTGGCCTCATTTACATCAGGCATCGACACATCTTTGGCCCTCGGACAGTTTTCAGTGAACAGCAAACATAAATTTAATCCTTGGAATCAACTTCATATCTCATATCTGCTTAATATGAATAACAAGGGAGCAGCTTGTTAGGAAGCCTGTGAAACTGGTTTTCAGTCAGCTGCTCAAATATTTCAAGCCTCTGGAACTGTGGAGGACTACGTACAAAAATAGCTGTAATTCTGAAACAGTTATTGCAATACTTGATAAACCTGCTAAATTAATGACTGTGCCTTAACTGACTTATTTAAATCCACTGTGGTGATTCACAGTAGTGGAATTACAATTCTTTGAATGTGGGTGCTTGTTGTTAAAAGGGTTGTGTGTCATTTGAGTTGGGTTTTTTTGTTCTTTTTTTTGGGGGGGGGCATATATTTATGTGTAAATATAATAAATATATAAGTCGAGCTAACACTTGGCACTTTGAAATTGAATGCCTAAAGGACCTGGTGACCATGCGAACAACTATTTTCACAACTGTGTGTCTGAATGACATTAACGAAACAAACCCGTGCACGCGGATCAATGGAGAAATGGTTTTTCCAGCATCAGAAAAGGGTAACGCTGACTCTCAGTCATCCCAAAAGACATGAAGAGAACTGAAGTAGTGCATAAAATTGAGTCAGTGCCCTGAAGACCAGACTTTAACTGCCTATTAGGACAGTTTTACAGCCAGTCCCACTGCAGCAGGGGACCGTCTCATTCAAAATGCTCCCACAGGTCGAAAAACAGTCAGAGTTACTAATGAGACCATAGCCAGCAGCGAGGAGGAAAAAATGCAAAATTAATAGCTGCGTTACATTCATCACTTATAAACTGGACGTTTAGTGATGATTTTCACTGGACGTTTCACCTCCCCTTTATCACTAATGATGAGTTTTGACACCTCAGGAAATATCAGTGAAGATGTGGGTAGAGTAATTTCCAGGTTTTTCCAGGGGCAGCTGCACAGGCAGAGACCCCCTCACTAACATCTGATGTACATCCAGCCGGCTGAAATATGGGCTGCTGCTGGTAGACTTTCAAGGGGTAAAGAAGAGGAAGTGATCAAATGATGCAGTCATGGCTGACAGGGTGATTTATTTATTTCCCCTTGTTTCTGTTTATTAGAATCTCATCTAGTCTCAAGTCTCACTTGTATGAGAAGCTTGTTAAAAAACAAAGAAACTACTTTCTATTTTTCTAATCATCGTTTTCTCTCGTGGACATCAACTCTGATTTCTTGCATGTCACATCGGTCGACTTTTCTAAATTGCCACGTCTGGGATATTTGCTGTTTTTCTTTTATGACAGGAAAATAATTAGACAGGCGTGTTTGTTCCAAACGTATCGAAGAGAACAGATGTGACAGAAACTGATGAGTTTTCCCAGGAACAGAGCTTTGTCAGAAAAACACGAGCGACGTAGCAGGAACTTTCTCCTGCAACTTGAAAAAACATGGAGTTTAATCTCGCAGATTTTAAGGACGCTGTGTGCAAATCGTTTAAATATTTCATGTTCTCTCTGAGCACAAGTCGAGGATAAAAACAAATCGGCAAATCTCTTTGTCTTTGATTAAGACACTTAAAAAAAGTGCTTACAAAGTCATTAAGAAAACCTCTACATGAGTGTGAACATGTAGATGCACAAACCCTCTCAGTCCCTACCGAGACTGTCCAAGCCGGGGCTCGAACCAGCAACCTTCCGATCAAAAGGGAAACTCTCTTGAGCCACGACACTAGTAGCTGCTGGGACTTCGAGTCACCGCTTTCCAACCAGGACAGGCTTCTAGACTTGAATGACTGAAAGAAAACAGCCGCAGCTCATTTCCTCTTCAGCTGTTTTTCAAACTGCTTTAATGTTAGCGAGTCTTGTAAAAATGAAATAAACACCAAACATTTCATATTTCCATCTGGCTGCTCTGCTTTGCAGTCAGCCTGACCTGAAGGGCACCTGAGTACAAAACAGAAAAGTCTCCTTTTTAAAGAAAGACTCTAAAGTATGTTCAGAAAGTTTAACACTGCATTCTCCTTTGAAAAGACTTCATTCAGCGAGACCTAAAAGCCAAAGGGTAGATGCTGAAATGCTGAGATTTTCTCCATGTTCCTCCTTTCTGTAGCACAGTAATAGACACTCTGTGGTGGAGAGGTGACGACGTAATGTTTGAATTTGAAGTCAACCGCTGAATTTTATTTCACTTCAAGGCTACTCTTCATAACTTATATTATTACTCATCTTGTGGTTTTTGTATTACACGATGATGTAAAATGAATGGCACACACCATGAAAAGCTGTCGATTACACATTTACACAAAAGCCTTTCATAGATTTTAAAGAGTTGTTAATTCCACAAATGAAATATTCTTTTTTTCCTGCAAGCCTGTCAGTTATCCTGTCAGTTATGCGTCTTTCACCTTCAAACTTTATATATCGTGTCTTTTAATATAATTATAAAATCTTAAACTGATCCAGATGAAAAGCTCTGAGACGGGGACACGAGCAAAACTGGTGCATCTCAACTTGACCATGAATTCTCCTCTCTATTTCCTCCATTATCTGCCACCCAATCAGGAGCCGTGTTTGAGAGAGGGCAATCTTTCTGCGTGTTTTGATATTAGACACGGAGGATGATGGTATAATGGTTTATCTTCCTTTGATTTCTAGATTATACCAAAGGACAATGAGACACGGTCGACTCTGATGTA